GCGGGGACAGGCACTCAGGAAATATTGATGGATCACGTTGAGCCTGACATTTGGGAGGAAAAGGCCGGAGTGGGAAAGGAGATGAGATGACAGCTTGCCAAAGGCTCTCAAGATACCTGGGCAGGTTAGGGCTCCGGCCATGATCTTCAAATTGTCCTGTGGGACCTGGCATTCTGTTGGAACCAGTTCAAGTTTCCATAAACATTCACTTCAAAAGAAAAAAAAATGTGTACAAATGTATGGTATTTAAAAACCAATACAACCTGAAAGAAACCCCTAACGCATCCCAGTGGGTTAGTGGGAGCGGTTGGGTGGCCTCATTTCTGTTCAAACCCCAGGAGTGATGCGTCTGCTGCCTGAACTTCTTGTAGGCCTCATCAGGCCTGGATCAGAAGGTGAAGACGGCACCAGGATTTCATGGTTTAGGCCGAGGCACACCCACTGTCCTAAAACTAGAGGAGTAAGATACCCCCTCTTCTCTGTGCCAGTCAGGACCTTCTTGCTGTTGGACAGCCCAGAGTACAGAAATCAGTGGGGTGCTGAGGCTCTGCCTCCATCATCTGTTGCCCCGATTATAAATTTTTATAGTCCTCACCACAGCCTTGTTGTTCTCATTAGCTTTCTAAGGAACCGGTGTGCATTTGTAATTTAGAACAACAAAATACCGCTTTTAATCTTGACTTTGTAACATAATGAGATGTCAGCTGAGATTTTGATTAAAAAAGCAAAGAGAGCCTCCCACCGTGGAGGGAGACCAAAGGCTGAGCAAATGACCAGCTCCTTGTGACTCAGCGGCATCCTTCTAGAATGGGAGCATGAGCTCAAGGACACCAGGGTGGTTGGTGAGCACGGAGGCACGTCTCACAGCCACCGCCCAGCTGCACACTCCAGACGGAGCGCACCCTACATCTAACCTCTGTCGGGCTCATGTGATCGTCTGTCATGGGGGAGATCTTCAAGCGTGTGTCAGTGTTCAATTATATAAGGCACATGGCCTTTACCAGGCCTCTGGGCCAGTTCATTGAAACGATTTGTGACAGTCAGTACAACCTGAACATAATCTATTCAGGGTCATTTTTAAATCCGGTTGTAACCAAGTTCTCGGGACAAGGTCAGCTGGCTTCAGAAGTGTACTTAATTAGGATCTAAGGCAGTTTCCTCCCCATCTTGAAAGATTTCTTTCCACATGCCTAGGGTCTGGAGCAGGAAATTGTCCCACAAGCTATAGGATTAAAGGGGGGGGTGCCTCTTAACGTAGGAGCCCACAGCATCTCCCCAGGGCCCACCTCGTGCGTGTCCCCCCATTCAGTTATTCCTCCTGCAGGCAAAGGCCTGGGCAAACAGAGGGGAAGCCGCGACGGCTTTGCCCACACCCACACTTGTCTTGGCTCCTGGGGTCAGAGCTGCAGTTAGTGGGGGAAGCCGTCCTTCACTAGCACTCCCGACTGGCAGCTCTGAATCCGCGTGTGATTTCGCCACGGCCGACTGCCCCCAGCTCACTCCGATGGGACCCCTCGGGCATGAGAGTGTTTTCCATCAACAGAGAGGAACGGCCGCGCCGCTCCTCTGAAGCAGCGGGGCTATTTCCAAGGTGCCTAGTGGGGCGTGAAATCCAGGGGGTGAATGCTGAAGCTCTGTGAAGAATTTAGGTAGGTGGAGTGTGATTGTTAAAGTTGAAATCTGTCCAGACCATTGAGTTAACCACTAATGCGATAAAAGTGAAGGCTGTGGGCTCATGCAATTACTTCGTTCTACCTGAGCCTATTAATATTGTCTACATCGTTACCTCCCCCCCCCAAAAAAAATCCCATGTACCATTAACCATGAACGATGGAACTGGATAAACCTCGAGCAGATGGCTGCCTTAATGGAGCACTATTCAACACTGCAGTAGTCCTCCGGGATCTGAGATGGCTGTTTTTAGCCCCCGTGATTGACATCAACACGTGTCACCAAATTCACACGGGCAGCAGGGCTTTGGGGCAATGCAACAGAAAAGAAGCCCGCGTGCATTCATGAGCAATTAATCCTGAAATATGCATGGGACGGCATAGGATTTAGAAGTGAGACAGCAAATGATTTAGAAAGAGCCTGAGGTATTCGAGCAATGTCCTTGGTGGCCTTTCCATGGGGGAAGAGATAAGGCAACAGCTGGGAGAGAGGTGGCCCACCAAGAGCTCGCCATCTCTCAATGCAGGCTCTTATCTGGCCCGGGAAGGTCAGCGCCACCGGCTGCCTTGCCCTCTACTCAAGATGGTTTTCCCCAAACTCCAGCTAGAAGTAGAGTTCACCTCCTGCCACTCCGGAGCTGGAAAAGTAACTGGGGACATCTTTTGGGTGTATGGTAGGCCTGCTGCGTGTGTGAATGTGTACCCGCTCTGATCAGCCACATCTGGGGCGTTTTCAGATTCCGTCCCTCCAGTACTGAGAACATGGCAAAGCCTTGAGGGCAGAAGAGAAGAAAGGCTTCCCAACCTCCTGAGATGCTCTCGCCCGGGGTAGCACTGCTAACTGTCCCCACCAGCTCGCAAGAGGGAAACACCTGGAAGAAATCTGGAGCTGGAGTGAGCACGGTTATGCTACCACTGGACTTCACATCTGATGCCCGCCCCAGGTCGGCAGCCAGGGCAGACTGTCCCATAAAGGCTGGACTCAGTCACCAAGCCAGGATAGAGGGCCAGGCAAAAGGAGGACACAGGCAAATCATAGGGGAGGCAGGCAGGTGAGGTTTCCAGAGCACCGGTTTGGAAAGAAATCGGCATCAGCTCCGAAGTATATTGTTAACAAGTCTTCGGCGGCTACCAAGAAGCCCCCAGGAGACCAAGAGCCTTACAATGAGGAGGGCAGGTTAAAGAAAGAGACACCAAACGGTAACTCAGTTTTAACATTTTATTGGGTAAATGATTTTAAAGATAGTAACAATAGTGTCAAAACTACTACAATATCTTTCCACAGCCATACCTTACAGACCCACATAAACCTTCTGATTTTTTCCTCTCGCTCAGTTTTAATATTTTCAAGCTATACATATCATATAAAATGCCCATTTCCAATAGTTTCTTCAAACTATTAAGCAATTAAATGTGGAAGGAAGGAGGTTCTAGTTATACTTGGAGGGGGTTTCGGGTAATCTGCAATGTCTCACTGTAATCCAAAAACAGGTTACTAAGAACGAAGGAAAAGAAGAGCTACTCCAGGTAGCTTTTGCTCATTACGAGTCTCACCACTGTATCACCAAGAACTCAGTATGCTGGTGACGGATTCAAAGTACTTTCGGGGAACATACAAAACACTAAAATAACTTAGAAACTAGATCCAAATATTTCAAAAGTAATCGACTTTGATATACAAAAACAGTCAGAGGTGGTTACAAAAGTTTGTTTTCTCAGTGCGTCTATGTACCAGCGCAGTTACTGGGTCCAGAGCAAAATAAAAGGTTTCTCTTCTTCTGAAACAGTAATAAAAAACAAGGAAAACAGATCTTTGTATATAAAGGATCAATGCTGGTCTTCAGAATAATGTAATCGGAAACCCTTAAATCGAGAGGCACACAACGGGTTTCTGCTTTTAAAAAACAAAAGGAAAGTCACCAGTTTATTTCAATGGAGGAGGTGCTCACACCCCTCAAATAAACTTCATTCAATTGAACATCACTAGCAAAAATCACTTAGAAACTGTACAAAAATAAAAAAGTTAACACATTTAATCCTGCAAGGTTTTTGTAAGGACTGGAAGGCAGGCTTTTGGAGCAGCATCTGGGCATGGCTGGGGGCTTCTTTGGTTTGATCTAACACACGTAGGAGATGGAACCTATTCCAGACGACAGTTTCAAATTTCCTACACATTTGGAGACACGAAAAGAGGCCAGTATACAAACTTCCAGTGTGCTGGGCATTGGGACTGTGTGTACTGGACTAGAAACTCTTACACCCGCTTGAAGGGGGCTGGGGGGAACGAGAGCAAGCCTTTCACCCTCCTCCATCAAGTACACCGACCTCTCTCGTGGTTAGGGGAGCCTAGGGCGGGGGCGGGGGAGCACACTCTCGTGCAGTCCGAAGGCCACTTAATGGGGGTTGGGGTGGGCTGGGGGCTTGGTGGGGAGGGCAATTGTTCTTTTAGTATCTGGTACCTGGCTGATGTTGTTTAAGAATAAGAAAACCTTCCAGAAACGGAAGCCTTTTGCTACATACCAAAGTAAAACGCGTACTGTTTTCCCAGAGGGAAAAAAAAAAATACCCAGTTGCATTTGAGAAACAAAACACAGAATGGAACTAATTAACATTTAAAAGGGGGGGCAATGTAAACTTTGTGCTACTCAAATGAAGTTCAAGTATTACTTCTGAGCTGTTTAAAGATCACTGAACTTATACAATATTCTGGTGATAAGAGTGCAATTCACATTTGTGTTTCTGAACAAATAAACCACAACTGGGCTAAAACACAACCTGTGCAATCAGAATCTTCGTCTGAGTTAAAGACACATGCTACATATTTCAACATATTCCAAGTTCATTCAAAGCACAGACTTAACAGCTTTGTACTATACGATGAAGGTGAAAAGGGTCTCGCGTTTGTTTGAAGCACACCATTACGGTCTGCATGACACCCTTTTTGCTACCAAGTCTTTTCAGTCAACAGCTATTTAGAGACCAAAAAAATGCACTGTGCATTAATCTGAAAACAAAAGGAGACAAAACTATCCTTTCCCCCCAAGCCATGGTGGGAAATATTGCTGACCTCGTCCTCTAAAGCCTGCAGGATGGTTATTTCTTCAGTATAACATTATTACACTGGTAAGAAAAAATCTGTAGAACATCTGCATATATCAAGAATTTTTAAAAAATCTGATATGATTTTTAGAGTCCGCATGACCAGTCACGTGACCTGCTCAAGATTGATTAGCACCGTTAAATACATAAACACACATATGTATGTATGTACGTGTAAGTAAATGTATACATACACACATATGTATGTCATAGATCTTTTCTTTAAAAAAAAAAAACAACAACAACTTCTAACCATGAGCTCACCCAGGACGAGGAGCCTGTTGAACTGATGAGATGATGGATAAGATGGGTCAATATTGGTCTATTTTGTCTCTCTTCAGTTTGCTTGTTTTATTTACTTTTTTTTTTTTTGCAGCAGATAATATCATTCAGCTTGTGCTCAGTTTCCCTATAAGGGCAAGAAAAAGTTTCCTTCAGGTAGCCACCTGGTTTTATGCTGAAAGATGAATCTGCTCCAAAAATGCTCCCAAGGAGAAACGGAAGGACTCAAGACCTCTTGCTACAACCCGACAGCTAGCTTTCTCTGACTAATCTCTAGGTTCAATGAAACTGGCTACCAGGATTGCATTACAGGCTAACAGTTGGCTTCTTAGTTAAGGCATCACAACTGAAAATGGTTATTTCAACAACGGGCGCTGTGGATGAAGGAATACCACCAAACTTCTAAGGACTCTCATCAAAAACAAAAGCAGTTTGCTCGGCCACAGTGGCAAGCACAGGGAATCCAGGCAATCAGCGCACCAACCAGCAAAAGGGTTTTGAATTCGGAGCTAGCAGTCTGTCCTTGTCACAGCCGACTCTAGGTGTAAGCTCCACCATTTTGATTTTCAGTGACATCTCAGAGTTTTAGACTACATATTCTGCACCATGCTTATATTCATCACTTGATATACTGGTTTCCTGCTGGAGAAAAATTACACAAACACACGCGCGTGCACACCACACACACACACTCACACACAGATTTACTATAGAAAAATGAAGGTAATCTTTCTCCAGAATCATCTGTCATTTTTCCCGGGGATAGACACACAGACCTCCTACTCCTCCTGACATTGGGAAGTCCGCTTGGTATGCGCGGTAGGAAGACCAGCCCTGCAAATCGGCTGGGCTCTAACAACTCTATCGTTTCTAAATACCAGCTCCATTTTCATAGGTGTAACGTAACATCTCATCAACATAGTAAATGTGTTTCTATCAAAAGTATGTAGTGCAGAAAGACTCCAGTCTTGTCCCCGTGACAAACATATCTGAAATTGTGGCTTATATGAACTTTCGTTTCACTAGATTATCTTTACTATTTCTTTAAATAGTCGCTAAAATTGTCTCTGGCCAATCATGACTTACTGGAACCTAAAGCTAACAGGTTTAAATTAATATATAATAGACAAATGTCTCTTTTTGGTTATTTGCTCAAAATAAATTTTTTTCACCTTAAAAAAATACCTAAGAGTAAGGAATTTGTCTAATCTGCTGTTTCCCATATAGACACAATAAAATTTTATAAGAATATTTCTCTAAATTGCCTTTTCCCCCCAACCTCTCTTAATTCCATTTAATTATATTCTTCTCAAAGGCACTAAATTCTGTATCTGCTCTCTTCCTGATATTTGCTGCTCTTCAAAATGACTTCTGTAGCATATCGGAAAGGTAGCTTGTACTTTCTTAAAACAGTGTTGTAGTCTATTAAGTTGGTTCTATAAAGTAATGAAGCTGTCTCTTCTACAATACCAGCACAAAAGGCATAAATGATTTCTCACGTTCTGTGACAAGCCCTATCATGGACCTTCCAATGTTCTCTACTAGAACTAAAGTTCATATATTTTAACCATGGGGAAAACACCTAAGTGAAGACCCACATACTAAGCTCTCCTAGCAAAATGCATTTTAGACAAATTCGAGAGTAATATACAAATACCTGAATTTGATATAAATTGCTCCCAAACTCAGCTATCAAAAATTCTCTATCTTACTGGGGGAAAACTAGAGAAAAACCTAAATAAAATCCTCAAAAACTGCACAATGTCTTCCATCCACAGTCGAAAGAAGGAGGGAAGAGAAGATAGAGAGAAGGACAGAAAGAAGACAGGAGGGAAGGCAAGAAGGACAGAAAGACAGAAACCTGACTGAGAGAGCAAAGCAAAATTCTACATAATATGGCGAGGAAAGAAAAACCCAAAAGTTATATATGCTGCAAAAAAAAAAAAAAATCAATGACCTAAAATAATGAAACAGAATCTTCTTAACAAATGCCATTTTCCTACCCGTTACCATGATGATCTTAATGATGTCCAAGCTTCATCATGGCAACGGAAACTATCATCATAAAATGGTACAGTAAAAGAGATAGCTAGACCAAGAAGGGGTAGGATCTCCTGGGAAGAGGTCTGCAGAGAGGCCCAGTGACTGGCTGTGCGGCTCAGTGTCAGGAATAATGGTTGTATGGCGGAAGGGGATGCCCAATGCCATTTTGGAAATGATGATGCTGGCGATGAGCAAGGTATTCAGCATAGCTCAGGGTCATCTTTTCACTACGGTACCTGAAAAAGTCAGGGAAGAGACAAAGTTAACATCAAGAAATAGATGGCATGCCAATGTCGGAGCCCGGAAGGACGTTAGAGATATCTTTACAGACCAAGAGAGACAGAGGTCAAGAGAGAAGTCATGACTGGGCCAACGCCATGCAACTGAGTGGTGAAACTGAGATCCGAACCTGGGAATCCAAAGTCTGAATCCAGTGCTCTTCTACCATTCCTGGTTTCAACTGTTCTAGACATTTCCGTGCCCTCTCCCTGGCAGCCCCAGTTTGCCAATGGGAAGGAACACAGGAAAGCCAACCTACTGCCATCATGTATGCATCTCATTCACTTGACTGCTTTTTCTTCCAGGACCTTCCCTTGTTGACCATTGCCTTCCCTCCATCCATGCATCTACTCAGGTCTTGCCAGTCAGTAAGAATAGCAACAATCAAACACTTTTCCTAGTACTGGTATCCCAAACCCTCTCTTTCCCCATCTCTGGCTCTCCTTTCACCCCTTCACTTCTCAAAACCGTAATGTGTGTTTTCTACCTTTAGCCCTCCATCTCACGCTGCTCCTCGGCCTGGTCCTCCTTGGCTCCTGCCACTCTTCCACAGAAACCACTCTCTCAGAAGGTCCCGCTGTTCCTGCTTGACCTCTCCATTAGGACAGCATGCACCTCTCCCTTTCTGAAGCTCTCCTGTGTCATGGGTTCTCCAACTCCACATGTCCCTGGTTCTCCACCCACACACTGTCTCTCAGACTTCTCCTTTATCTCTCAGACTCTTCCTCCTGCTCCTTCCTGGTAGGATTTTACTGTGTTTCTGCCTTCTGTTCTTTTGACCCTACACCCTCTGTGCCCCCTCGGGGAGCCCTATCTTTATGGCTTCAACTAGGACCTCTTCACACATGATCCCAAATCACCATTTCTGGCCATGAGTTCTATCTATGAACATTTACAGTGACATACTGGACATTTCTATACAAATACCCCAGGAAGCACCTCAAATGCAGAACCAGTGCTGAAACGTGACTCTCCTCCTGTGCCCCCTCCCTTGGTTAAAGGGTGCTTTGTGCCTTGGTGCTTTTTCATCTGGAGTGAAATCTTGACTTATTCTTCTTCCCTACTTCTGAATGATGACTAAGTCCTTTCATTTCTTCCAGTGTTTTCTCATCTGTTTCACCTCCTTTGGGTGGCTGCCCCAGATCCTTAGGTAATAGCAATGTCTTCTAACTCCTCTTCCTGTGTCCCATTCCAATCCTACACCTTCCCAAATCCATCTGCTTCAAACCCTTCAATGGCTACTTACTGCCTCTAGAAGCAGGTCTACACTTCTTACTCAGGAATTCAAGACCCTCCATAATATGACCCAACCTACCTTCTGGGCAATATTTTGCTCCCATGACCACCTTCTATATGCACACTGAAAGACCAGCCAAATCAGACTGTTGAACGTTCCTCAGAACTTGGCTCTGTACTTCACCACCCACATGCCTCGACTCACTAAATTAATCCCCTTCCTCCCCCATCCTCATATATTCTACCCATTCTTCCAGCCCAGTCTCAAACCTACATCCTCTCTGAAGTGTTGTTTTATCTAACCCCACCCCTCTTGGAAGTCCTCTTTCCCTACTTTATGACCTCACACTAGCCATCACAGTCTGCCTTATATTCCTCATTATTTTTGTACGTGCCCTTCTGGTCTCCTAGACTGAATTCAGGGAAAGCAGAGAGGGAGGCATTTTTAAATGTGTAACTCCGCAGGGCTGGGAAAAGTCCAATTTTAGACTATAGGCATTCATTGTAGTTTTATGGAATCGAAACAAATGGAAACAGCAATCCATTTTCCTAAAATGTTGGATATTTTTAAAAAATAAGTATCCCCATCAGCCCACAGAGAAATATATTTGGCATTTGTGAGTCTAGCTCACTTGTGATTTTCAGTAAGCTTCCATGGTAGACTTCTATTGCTGCCAACATCCTAAGGTTAAATACAAATTTGAAGAGTCCTTATCAGAATCCGGGGGTGCTGCTAAGCAATGTCCAAAGCTAGCCAATGGCGACTTCTGGTAACTTTCTTTGATAATGTAATCTACAGGCTCAGAGGATTTGCTCGTGTAAAGCCAAAGGAATCACACAGAGCTAAGGATGGGGAAGGATGGACTCATACATCATGCAAGCTTTATTGCCAAGCCAGGTTCCATAGTTTCCACCCCCAGGATGGCCCGGCCATTCATTTCCATTCAGTTTCAGAAGAGGGAAGCAAGTAAGAGAGACCAAGGAAGTCAAAGGGTTATAGACATACACATCGAAAGGTACTGGTTAGCCTTGTGCTAGAAAATGCCTTCTGTACCTGGTCAGTTTTATGGTTTTCCTGAATTCATTAGTAATCGGAGCTTTATATCCTCCTTTCCTCAGTAAGGAGTCTATGGTCTGAATATGGTCCCATCCTGTGGAGAGTAGACCAGATAAAATACCAGTCACGCACATGTCACAAGCACTTTTGGGAAAATACAAAATGACTTTGCAGAGGTCAGCTGTTACTGTCACCAAATACCATCAACTCCTTTGGTCCTAAAAACAATCACACAGAAGAGCTAAGACTTCTTCCTGTCAAGAAGCAGCTCTGGCCCTGCTTCTCTATATATACCTTAAGTGCTAGCTACCCGTAATGGCTGATGACATTAGCTTTTTTATCTCAACCACATTCAAAGACAAGAAGTCTAAGAGGCTGGCGGTGACGGCTCAGGTGGGTCTCAATATTAAACCATAAACACTGCCCTCTCCTTTAACAATGACATCTTTAAAAGGGAAGGAGAAGCCCAAATGTCACTTGTGCCAGCTCGGTAGTAGTTAGGACTACCACACTAACTCATGGGAATTACCGTCCCTGTTGATATCTTCTGGAGTCAATCAAGTGTATCTGTGTGAAATATGCGAAGACATTTTTATTGGTTCTGATGTGGGATGGTGTGCTTAATATCCGAGCCCCCCCCCCCAAGAAGCCAGTGGGAACTACGGGATTGAGGACATTTTTGAAAGTAACCCCAATAAATCTTCCGATAGCTGTCTTAAAGACTCTCTTGTCGGGGTGAGGGGTGTGTAATGATATGAAATTGTACGATTATATAGCTCACATTTATATGAACCAAACAGGAGAGAACCAATTACAGATGCTTTCTGATGAGGAATAAAAAAGCTCTATAAGATAAAGAAGAAATATTCATCTCAACTGACGTGGAAAACTAGAATTTCATAGTGGCTAGGAAGGACAAGGTGCTAGAGAGCGAAGAATTCCTTAAGGTTACAGTGGTGGTTCATAAACGCTTGTGCTCTACCCACCAACACAGAAACATGTTTGATTCGGAAGTGCAGACCCAGCCGATCAAACAGTAAGACTCTATGTCGTCTCGGTGCTCCTGATATTAATGGGAAACCTACAGTCCTCACAGTAGCCGGATGAGTCCCCGGCAACGACCTGACGAGGAAACATTTGTTACTGATGATGAATGTACCGTGGGGCTGTTAGACAGAAGGCTTGTTTATGCCAAAAGGCTACAGCACAGTGGGATTATGGGCAAAGGGCATTTCAAATTCACAGCAAACCACTGCCTAAAAAGAAAAACCCACTTCTACAAGTTTTTTCTCTGGGGAAAGTTAGATTTTTGCGTGTCTTTGCTCTCCAGCTGTAGTGCAGAGATTCAGCTTCTCTAGGAGTAATTCACTGATCTCATACAGACATTGCAGTGACAGGGATGGAAGAGTCATTTCTTCTCATTTGAGAACTGCAAGGTCAGATAAGTGCATTTCAATGTGTGTATCTGTTGGACTTCTTCCCCAGATCATATGAAATAAAGTATGACAATGACCTTGCTCCTTTGCAACCTCTGGTAGGTAGGTGGCGGTGCGTTTTGATCCTTTTTCATTGATGAATTCTATTCTAATGCCATGTACACCCACCTGAAAGAAATTGGCAGTTTTATTAGTATAGTCTTCTTCATAGAAACAGAAAGAAAAAGTTATAATTTCACTTTCAAGAGACGGCAGTTTTTCCTTTCCCCTTGATTTTGGAAGGGCATACATACATATATATATATATATATATATATATATATATATATATATATGTATACATTTCTTTCTGTATTTTTGTATATGTAAACAAACACACACACACACACACACACACACACACACACACACACGATTTTTCTCTTTCCAAAGCACTGACTTTGAGTTTGAGGGCCATTATGATGGCTGTTGAGACTGAAAACATCAACTGATATATCCCCAGCATGTATTGGACTATGCTATTCTGTCTGGAACTAGAACAACCACACTACTGTGTGTAGAATCAGAGAGTGATGGGCAAGAATCCTGCCCCCACTTCTTACTAGTGGCTCGCAACTTTAAGGAACTAGAGCGAGGGAGCTGACTTCTAAGAGACAGCAAACATGCATCCTATTTTCAGGTATAAGCACCACTTTGGATTAAGTTCCAAAAATTCCGGGGCTGCTGACTCCCTGGTTGTCTAGTCTCTTTAAAACCTTGACTTCTGTGTAGATGAGCAAACCCAGATAAGGCTGTAAAAAGTCAACAACCAGATCCAACCCCATCACCCATTCCATGTAATTGTTCTAAAATATATGAGATACACACACACACACACACACACACACACACACACACACACATGGTGGGTCCGTGGCAAACCTTTACCATCTATGTCACTGCCCTCATGCAGTACTGCTAAATGTACAAGTGATAAAGATGTCAAATCCCTTTGGGGCTGGGTAGTTTTGCAGTTTCCTATATATGAACACAGAGATCACTATAACTTCATGGGAAGCACACGAACTTTCAGTGATGCCCTAAGAAAGGGAGTTCTCTAAGTAAATGTGGGCAATTTCATGCTAATGTTTTAAGAAAGTAACATACTGTTTCACTGATTAGCATCTAGTCAGAAGGGATCTGTCTTTTTCCACCCTCGCATCCTTCATAGGATCATATACGGAACTGAGGATCACAGAAAGGTTTTCTTTGTGAACACTGATAAGAAAAATGCAATTTCAAAAGGACAACAACTCCATTTCGGCCTCCCAAATCTACAGTCACTTTAGGTCAGTGGTCCCCAAGTGGAGTTTAGGAAGGTGGCCCAAGGGACCTGGAGGGAGGATGGTGAGGCCAGGACAACACTTTCATCCAGGAAAGAGGCTTCCTTTTAGAGCAGGTGAGTGAAGTCACAGGCCTTGCCTCTTTCCATCTGTAGGCACGGAGAGGTCTAGAAGAGGAATAGGGGTCCAGGCAAACTTCTTTTGCTGCTTCTGCCCTTAGCCTGAAATCTTCCACTTTTCCAGGGAAGAAAAAGTCCTCTGGAGAATCCGTCTTGTTCTTTCCCCAGGTCTTCTTCACACATCCAACCATTAGAGCCTGTCAGATCTTCTGAGAAGTTTGTTTTTTCTGAAAGCCTATCTCTGTGACTATTTCTTCTACATGGTATCAGTGTTCTTATGAATCTCCGTCTGCTGAAGATGCAGTCAGGGCGGCTGTTTAAAAACTAACACAATAAGACCTCCCAGACCCTGTGGGAAATGACTGTGGATAGCTGAGAAGAAGTATGAGTGCTTAGCTATCAGGCCTTTCCAGGATAAAGGACATCTCCTAATCTCCCCAGTGCCTGACGCAGTACCGAGATAATGATAAATTTGCAGCAGTTTCTGATCTGTTCACTTTCTGATCTGTGACTTTGAAGTTTTTTCTTCCCTTCACCATAGCAGCTCCTTCATAATTTGTTTTTGAAAATACACAGCATAAATAATCTGTGCTCCCATCATTCACTGAAGTGAATTTTGCATCTTCAACTCAATTTATCAAAAATCTGTCATGTTCAAATTGGAAAGAATTTTGGTGTTTATGAAGGTGTCTAATCAAAATTGTTGAGATGAGGAATGTTTCCCTATTTGTGAGATGAGAGTGTTAGACAAAATCAGGGGTGTTTAACTGGTATGGGGAGGCTTGGGGGCTGTGAAATTTATCAGAATTTCAGGGGGTTTCATGCTTCAGCAAGTATGGTTTGGAAAAAGAACAACTCCCCCGGTGATTTTTATTCTAGGTTAACTAGAAAACCTCTAGTAATTGGCCTAGCTCTGAAAAACTGTGGCTGTGTATTGAAAAAAAAGTGCTTTAGGCAAATTGGAGGTAATTTAGACACATTAATCCTTTCTTCATAGGAGTGCATTGTGTTCTTTAACAAAAATATCAGAGATTATAAAGCCTAGTAATTTAGCAATTAAAAGCGGTTATGACCAGCTGTATGATATGTGAATAATACCTCAGTAAAGGTTGTGTGTATATATGTAAATATAAAGAAGGAGGTTAAGACCAAACTGGAAGGGCATGCTGACCAAAATAAAAATTACTCATGGATAAAACTGATCGACTTTTGTATTTTCAAAAGCCTCACAAATTTGATACAACAAAAAAATTATTGAAATTCTCCCATTTAGAATTAGTACCGCATTTACAATTTTTAGTTCTTTTCCATGTTCCTCTGATTATGAACAACTGAAAAGTACCTGCAAATGGAAATGTAAGTAGGGTGCTTTTAAAGTGAGCCCTTTGGGAAAAATAACTTCTTTCAAAGACAAAAAAAAATACACTCCACAGCAATAGAAAGCCCAAAGCAGAGTGACGCATTTCTTCAACTAGCGGAATCGGGAGACTGGCAATCATGTTCTGACCAGAATCAGAGCATAATAGCTTTTTGTCACCTGTTGAGCAACATCACTTTCCTTACTCCCAGAACCACAGACACCACCAAGTAGTCATACTGTGCAATCAAAACAGGAGAGTGGAAAATGGCCTGCTGTGGAGAATGACAGAATCTGGCCAACCTGTGGAAATCACTGGCTTTGCAAATTAAGTCATCTCCGCAGACAAAAGCACCAAAACGAATTTTGTATTGTTTGAGGGAGGAATCAGCCCCAGCTGCAACTCCAAAATGTAACCCTCATGTATACTAATCAAATCCGTTCTGAGACACAGTGGAGAATCCTTCCACCAAGCAGCATCCCAAGAGAGGAAAGTTCCAGTTGCAATTACCCGCTAGCTAAGAGATCGTTCGGCTAACCAGGGAACTGGGATTCCCTAAAGCAAACTTCCGCTAAAACTCCACCACAGTGTCATAGTAACTTTCCATTTCTAGGGCTGGATCATGATGTAGCATATGGGAAGACTATGTTACCCTCCTACTTCTCACATACCCCTAACCACCATTGCCCAAAGTATGGCCAGGTAGGCAAAAATGGGAGACTTGCAGATCTAGCCTTATGGGAGCCTGCAGGTCACTGTCAAAGTTATTAGAAGGTCTTCTGAGAAAAAAAAATGCTTTCAAGGCCCATCAGCTGTGATAATATCCTTTTAATCAAGACTGTACTTTTGCTAAGCAAAGCTATAAATCAACTCAAATGGTAGTAAATTAAATGTAGGACTTATAGATAAGAGGATATGGAATTAAACAGAGCTGTATCTGTGTGTGCTGAGAGAACAGTACGACTCGTTCAACAGATTCCTATTTCATGCTAAAAAGAAAGCCATATTTATTCTGAACCATTACATAGTGAGTGATTTTTATTAACGCTATTCCAAAGCCTTTTGTTTTTAACATTGCCCAGAATGATTAAATATCGAGATTAATGTTAGGACCCCAAAATATATCTTGATTATTCCACAGTTGATTATTCAGTTTGGGGATTATGCATCCCCAGCCGCACCTGACCCCATCGTCTTTCCTCTCGTCCATTTCTCTGTTTGCTCACTCTCTGTCAGAGAGCATGTGGGCACACACAGAGACATACATGCAAATTAATCAATGTTGCTACATCGTAAAAGGTTTGGTAAGAGAAGAGATTATAAATAATGGCTAAAATGAAGCTTCTAGACTCTCTGCAGATTTCATTTATCCTCGTTATCTGGTCCCTTGTTAGAAATGTGGCTTCATTTACAACTATTATCCTCTAATGCAGTGACTCTTGACACAGGACCATTTAAAAAGCGCCCCCCCACCTCATTATAATACATATCCATATTCTGCTCCTCACAACTGCATCAAATTTGATAGCTCCTAATCTGTCTATAAGGCAAGTGTTCATCCTCTAAGCCACTAAGAGCACTAAAAAAGGGCCTTACTGTTATTTGCGAGCCCAGTCAACAAGCCAATAACCTTGGATACACTCAAACATGAAAAGGAGTCATCTGGCTAAAAGTATCAGTGAGCATAAAACATGCTCTGGCTAAGTCAAGTAGGCGCCACATGAGCCTTGGACCATTTGGATCCACAATTACCTCCACAGTCCTGACCCTTAAAACTGAATCTGCCCCTGATCACATCCTGCCTGGCCAATAAAACCAATTGCCTCCCCAGGTTCATCCTGTCTTAGCACATGCCACAGTAAGCCCCAGTCTTCCCCATTTAACAAATGTTGGGTTTCCTTTGTAAAACAGTATGGCCCTAGCTCACTCCACTGATTTTTCAGTGGGCTCACCTTGAATTTTCGTGTGTGCGTGTGTGCGCGCGTGCGCATGTATATCAGGAAGTCAAGGAATCGAAAGTGGTTTGACATGTTTTTGTTGATATCATTTGGCAAGATATGCTTTGCAATTAACAAAGTAGCCAGTCACTGGTCATTCACATAAGACTGACCTGCCAGACTCAATATGCCAGTCGCACTGAACTGAATAAAAGGACTCTGTTCCTAATGAGAGGAGCTCAGGATATTTGGCACACCCTCTAACCTTTAGAGGCTGGCATCATAGAAGACACACATGCTCTTTCACAAAACAGCCCATGGTACCACGGACAGAAACAAACACTGCATTGGACAGCCCATGGGTCTGACCCAGAGTCTGGAGTTTCTTATATTCTTGGGAGGAAACAGCCATATGTGGTATTTCTCCTAGAA